TGCTTGCTAAAATTGAGGAGGACCTGAAGCACTTGCTGCAGAAGGTCAAGGACTGCAGCCTTCAATATGGATTGAAGTTCAACATCAAGAAAACAAAGATTCTCACCACTGGGCCAATTGGCAGCATCAGTATGGATGGTGAAGAGATTGAGATTGTTAATTACTTTAGTTTGCTTGGCTCCACAATCAATCTCTTGGTACCAGCATCCAGGAAATCAAAAGACAAATTACACTGGGAAAGTCTGCTGTCAGAGACCTCTCCAGAGTATCAAAGAGCAACGACATCAGTCTAGAGATTAAGGTGTACCTAATCCAGGCTATAGCTTTCACAACTGCTTGCTGTGCATAAGAAAGCTGGACAATGATTAGGGATGATAGAAAGAAAATTGATGTCTTTGAACTGTAGTGCTGGAAAAGAGTACTGAATACAATATGGACCAGTAGGAAAGCAAACAAGTTCATCGTAGAGAGGGTAAAACCAGGCTGCTCCTCGGAGGCAAGGATTCTGAGGCATGTTGCAAGAAGGGACCAGTTCTTGGAGGGACATTATGCTTGGAAGGGTAGAGGGACATCACAAGAGAGGAAGACCCTTGATTAGATGTATTGATTCAGTAACTGGGGTAATGAGGGTAGGTGTGTCAGAGACAATAAGGTTGGCACAGGATACAGCAGGTTTCAGGGCTCTTGTACATAGGGTCACTATGAGTCACAAGTGACTCAACAGCTCAATAACAACAACATCTATTTACCCATTACTGGTGTGAATGAAAATTGGTACAAGTATTGTGGAACACCATGTGTGGTTCCACAGGGAAAATAAATAAATCATCCCCCTACTAAAAACACTCACCTAAAACTAGAAACTATCCTGTGACCTTGTAATTCCACTCCTAGGTATATAAATAACCAGAAGACTTAAAGGCAGAGATTAAAAAAAAAAAAAGAGAGACTTACTCAAGGTGCAATTATTTTAAAATAAAACTTAAAAATCAAAGACTACTCACTAGTCTAAAGGACTAATAAATCACATGAAGTTTGGTCTCCAGTTTGAGACAGCATTACTATATATTGATCATCTACATCTGCTGACCCACGATGAAAGGGGCCACAATTGAAAGGCACATGTAGAGTAGGAGGAAAATGTAGAACAAAACTCAAAATCCTAAAAAATGACCAGGCTTATTGATCTAACAGAGTGGAATGCCCAAGGCTAAGACCTTCTCTTACCCTTCAAAATCTGGAATGAAAATCACCAAAAACAAAAGGCAACTTCAAAAGCAATAGATCAACAACACAAGAGAGGAATATACTCCCTCCAGTAATCAAGTATACAGGATCAAAAGGGTTGATGAGCCAAGCTCAAAAAGCAAAAAGGGACAGGAAAGAAGGACAAATGGAAAAAAGAAGCACAGGGAAGGAGGAAGAGTGTTGTTACAAATGTCAAAGATTAAACTGATAACCATAAAATAGAATATGCATGAATCTTTGAATGGAAAACCAGTGGATTCTATAAACTTTTACTCAAATTACAATTAAAAGTTCATTAAAAGAGAGACAGATTTGCATACCCATGTTCACTGCAGCACTCTTCTCCATAGCCTGGAAGTGAAAACAACCTAAATACCCATTAACAAATGAAGAGATGTGTACCATATTTTATCTCTTCATTTGTTAATGGGTATTTAGGTTGTTTTCACTGCATGGTTCAAAATTGGGAAGGGTGTACGTCAGGGATGTGTCCTATCTCCATGCCTTTTCAACCTGTATGCAGAGCAGATTATCCGAGAGGCGGGGCTCTATGAGAAGAATTGTGGCATCAGGATTGGTGGACGATCTATTAACAATCTGCGTTATGCAGATGACACAACCTTGCTCACTGAAACTGAGGAGGACCTCATGCACTTACTGCAGAGGGTTATGGACTGCAGCTCAATGTCAAGAAGACAAAAATTCTCACCACTGGACCAATCGGTAGCATCAGGATGGATGGCGAAGAGATTGAGATTGTTCACAGCTTCAGTTTGCTCGGCTCCACGGTCAACACTCTTGGCACCAGTAGCCAGGAAATCAAAAAACGTATTGCGATGGGAAAGTCTGCGGTTAGGGACCTCTCCAAAATACTCAAGAGCAACAGTGTCTCTCTGGAGACTAAGGTCCGCCTGATACAGGCCATGGTTTTTGCAATCACTTGTTATGCATCAGAGAGTTGGACAATGACTAGGGAGGACATAAGGAGAATTGATGCCTTTGAGCTGTGGTGCTGGAGAAGAGTGTTGAATGTACCATGGACTGCCAAGAAAACAAACAGATTCATCACAGAGAGGATTAAACCAGGCTGCTCCTTGGAGGCAAGGATTCTGAGGCTTTGTCTGACATACTTTGGACATATTGTAAGGAGAGACAGGTCTTTAGAGAGGGACATCATGCTGGGTAGAGTAGAGGGACAGCGCAGGAGGGGAAGACCCTCTATGAGGTGGACTGATTCAGTGACTGGGATACTCGGGATGGGTGTGTCAGAGGCAATGAGATTTGCACAGGATAGAGCACGGTTTAGGGCTGTTGTACATAGGGTCGCTATGAGTCACAAACGACTCGACAGCACATAACAACAACAACAATATAAAATTGAACGCTCAGTAAGAAAACTGAAACATGCTACAATATAGACGAAGCTTAAAGACATTATGCTGAAAAAGTCAATCATAAAATGACAATTATTGTCTGACCTTACTTCCATAAAAAGACAAGAAAAGCCAAACCCAAGTTCATTAGTGGTTACCCAAAGTGTTAAGGAGAAAGAAAGGAAGGGCTAATGGTGGTGGGAATTCGTTGTATAACCAATTATTGTAATTGCTATCAATATATTGTACAGATATGAAACATTATGTGATAGATATATGTAATAACAAAGAGTAGCAGCTCGTTGTAAAACTCAAAAAAGTATTAACAGTGTCACTAAATTGAAAATGTAGAAACCATTGGACAAAAAAATAGTAGACTAGACTGAGGGGGAATGAAATGGGAAGGAGAGAAAGGAAGCTCATGTTTAACTTGCTGTTTAGGTTAAGGAAAAATTTTTGTGAAGCAAATACTTGTACATCTGAGTATTATGAATCCCACTTAAGCTGGATACTTAAAAATGGTTAACACACTAGCCTCTCCTACATATTTCCTTTTAAAGAGATAGGCCATCCCTTTCTATACATCTATCTTTACTTTTTACCTTAAAATAAAAAAAAAAGGTTAACACTGCAAAATTTGTTATATTTACATCATCACAACTGAAAAAAAAATCCATTAATGCTGATATTAAATGAAAATGGATTTTTTTAAAATGTAGTATATACATACCAAAACCAAATTCTTTTCTGTCAAGTCAATTCCAATTCATTGTAACCTTTTAAGATAGGCTAGAACTGCCCATAGCACTTCCAAGGCTGTAAATCTTTAATGGAAACACACTGACCAGTATTTCTCTCATGAAGTGGCTATGTTTGAACCACAAACCTTTTGGTTTATAGCTCAGTGCTTTAAATACTATATCCCATAGCCATAAAGAGAAATTAAGTTCTGATACATGTTACCACATGGATAAACCTTAAAAAATGTCATGCTGAGAGATTATAAAAGTATTATAATTATGGAAGAACAAATACTATTATTTCCCTTACATTAAATGTCTAAAATCAGAAAAGCCATGAAGACAAAAGAAGATTAGTGGTTACCTAGGACTGAGGGGAAAAGGGGAATAATGAGGTGAGGGAAAAAACCAAAACACAAAACCAAACAGCATTGTAAGGAGTGTGTTGGTTGTTTATTTGCTTAGCCTTGAAGCTACTGTTTTCTCTTTCTTTTTTTTTAAATAGATCAGTACTTTAGACCTAGAAAACCTTTCATCTCAACTCTAGTTCTTGTTTCCTTCGTTCTCTGTTTGATGAGGGCAGGATAAGCGGCACTCAACTGTCAAAACAGTACCTTATTTGAGACTCTTCCTTTACAGCAAAACTATGTATTTATAGTGTAAAAAAGGTAACAATTTTTAAAAACTAAATTACAGTACTCAATAGAGTTAAGCAGGCTGAGTAGGATATTAGGATAGAGAGTTTTAGAGACAAATCTCTGGGTCTTTCCCAGAACAGAAACAGTGAAAGCAATTCTAGACCACTTGAAACAGCAGCAGAAGAACAATGATAGAATTTTATAGCTTTCTATGTAACAGGCTCGGAAATGTTTAAACTAATTTATCTCTTTTCTTTTAAAAAAGATTCCATTAAATTCTGCTTTCTGCCTTGTAAGAGAACCCTAAGCATAATACTCTAATACAGCAAACCAGAGAACAAACATACCAATCTTTCCATTACTTTCATTTCCACTATTGTCACCTGAACTTTTGCAATGCAAGCAAGCTATCTTTACAGAAATAGCTTAGGGCTAGATGTCTGGTCATTCAAAATCAAAGGACAATGAAATCAATCCAGATAACCAAATAGTATGGAGTAACAGAAAGCAGAGTCTATTAGAAGTAAGTTCCATTAAAGCAACTGTTACCACAATAATCAACCTTTCCCATGAGGAAATACTCATTTTCTGTACTTTAAAAATGGCTTGAATTGTACTTTTAAACTTGTTAATTTAAAACTAAAACTCTATGTTCAAATGAGTTTTATAATATTCTAAAAGCTCAAAACATTCTCATTTGAAATAACATTACTTTTCCAATATAAAAAGAACAGATCTTAAAATTAAAACAAAAATGAAAAACTTCTTTTGATTTATGATGCCAAAAATCGCAAACAACAAAGATAAAAAGTTTTAAGATAGAATATTTTGGTTCAAAACTAGTTAATTGTAAAAACAATCTTAGTTTAAGAAATTTAAATTTTCTGCTATTTTACTTCAGGGGAGAGTTGAAAGTTACAAAAATTTAAATATTACTTATAAATAGTTGTATGAAATGTCCAGTTTTCCCTATCAAAAAAACTTTCCATTTAAATACTTACTCTGAGCCTGCAGCCATTTCCAAGTATGACGTTTCTGCTGTATCAACCCCCAACGGGATGACTATGCTCATGACGTTCGCCTCTGGTAAATTCGATTACTATGGAGTCCTATGCATTGGTATCCAAAACACTGGGGCATGCCAGCCACAGTGCTCATTGCAAACATCTAAGTGCATCCACAAACCCTATTTAAACAAAAAGGAACAAAACAATTAAGCAATATCTTCATATGTTACATTATAATAATAAACAATGAAGCAAGTATTCTTTATGAAAATCTCAATAGTAGTTAGAATTTTCTCAAGTTCTTTTTAAAAAAAAATTATATGACTATGATTCAAAGAAAAGTTTCTGAATCATTCTGTCCTTTAGGGAATGAATGTAAGATGCCACATAAGGACCATTAAGACATATTGCTTAGTGAAGAACAAACAGTCATTATTGATTTTGAAAGATCAAAAGTCTTATTTACACTTTCATTGGCGTGAAATCAGAACTGACTCACAGCTGATCTTCCATTGGGTGGGTTTTGGAAGCTGTAAGTCACACAGGAAGAGATTGTCCTCTTTCTTACTCAGAGCTGCTCATGGATGCAAACCACCAGAAAGGTGAGGCCTTTGGTTTAATCAGATGTACAACTCCCTACAGACCAAAATATAGCCTTCTTGGTTCAATGAGTGAACAAATACAAAATATTTCCTATAAGTATCATACTAAGTTTTTTACATGGATGATCTATTTACCACTTTCATTTTTGAGGTAGGAAGATATCTCCATTTAACACAAAAAAAGCTTAACTAATTTAACCAATCTTCATCTTAATAGATGAAGCAGCCAGGATATGATGAGACAAATTCTACTTAAATACATATATTTTTTATAATGTGTATTTTTTTGCTTATTTATGTATGTGAAAAAAAGATTTTATTTGTAATAAAGACAATTCTTTTACAATGATTGTCATTTTCTTTTCTATTTTTTAGTGTCATTTATTTACTACATAAATTATATTGAAGCAGTTTCTCATCTCTTCAGTTACTATTAACCTATGAGTTGATATTCCCTAATACTGATAGTAGAGAAAAATAATTCATAAATTTGTACTCATTTTAAGGTAAATTTACCATGTTGCTGTTGATTGCCATCAAGTTGAGCATGACTCATAGCAACCCCATGAACAAAAGGCCTGAAGTTTTTCTATAACTATCGACATTTGTCAAAGTTCATAGAATTTCCAGAGGTATGTTGTTTAAGAAGTGGATGCCACTCCTGCAGATACGCAGCTCCAATATATATATTTTTTTCTAACCTAAACCTACTGTTGTTGTTTTTAGTTGTCATCAAGTCTATTCTGATTCATGGCAACCCATTTATGCAATATATAACTGTTAAATAGAGCTTAAAAAACTGTGACATTTCAGTAGCAGATCACAAAGTCTGTCACCTAGCAGTTGAGTGCTCAACCATATGCACTACACAAGAATTCCCAACTAGCTATACAAAAAAGTTGTAAAATGCAACTTGAAGTCTTTTCAGCAATGATCAATAACTTGGGAATAAGAAGACAGATAGAACCTTGTATAATGGACTACACCAACAGCCAAAATTATCCTATCTCTACAATGTTTTATTCCAAATAACTTGAAAAGTATTGTTTCTTCAAATAATTGTTATATTTAGCATTTTTTATATGTAAGCTTGAGATTTTTCTAATCAGATTAATTTTTACTTATTTCACAAATGAAACAGATTGTGAAATCATACCTTACAGGAGAAAAAAAAATAACCAACCCACAACAAAAATGGTGAAATAAGATAATGATAGCACTTGAATAATCCAGAAAAAAATTATCTTCACTTTTAAGCCTTATATAACTGGAGAGAGCTACTAAATTACAAATTTTTGTAATAAAAGTATGCAATAGTAGGCAGTTGCACCTAAAGGTTAAAAGCATAAGTGTTGAATTCTGCTTGTAACACTTAATATATGAAGGCAAGTTATTTAAACCTCTCTAAGTCTTAGTTTCATTGTTTATAAAGCAGGATTTATCTTTCATAAAACTTTGGAAAAGAAATGTAATAATGAATTAAAGCATTTACTATTCTGCTACAGTTATAATTGATTGATGTCATCACATGTACACAAAAATGTGTACACAGAAAAGAAAAACTCCAGCCCTACTTTAAAGGAATCTTCTAAAAGCCTTTTACACCTAAAGATATATGGTTCTCTATTAGGCATGTTTTCGAATTAAACCAATACAAAATGAAAAAGCTTCCCATAAGGAGAAGAAAATTTGCAACAATGAATGAATAATAAAAATTTTAAAAAATTTTAAGGACAACTTCCACAGACAATTAAATCAAGGTGAAAAACAGGAAAAGTTACCCTGTCTGCTTTTTTTACATGTGTAAGCACATTAGAGCTACTTCACAAAAGCCTTATTTATTAACATATATAAAGCATTGGGAAAGTCTGCTGTCAGAGACCTCTCCACTGGGATAATGGGGATAGGCATGTCAGAAACAACAAGATTGGCAAGGGATAGAGTAGAGTTTAGGGCTGTTGTACATAGGGTTGCTATGAGTCACAAGTGACTCGACAACACATCATAACAACAACATAAAACTATAAAATTTCCAGATAGAAAAAAAATGCAAGTAGTGTACCAAAACACAAGTTCGTTCTATTTAAATATTACATCAGCCTGTACTTCCTTAAAATGCTAAAACTTGGACCTAACAACAGGTAACAATTCTTGTTAGTAGCATCTCAACAGAAGTTTTCTTTAGCTCATTTTATTGTTAGATCAAACTCATAAGAAACTTTATATATTAGGTTTATGTTCTCAGATACAAATTGTACATTTGTTTACCAGAGACAGAAACTGAGAAAAAGAGAGTTCACATCATCATATATTATTTTAGGTAATTGGAGTAATATTTCCAACTGAAAAGAATCTGTGTAGGTGCAGTTAGTTATGCATGTGAAAAATGTGCCCTAGTCCATTAAATCCATAATAATAATAATAATAAAAAAACCCAAAAAACAAAAAACACCGAGCAGTTTCTAAGGAGCTGGAACAGACTAGCTTATCTTGGAAAATAATTTCTAAGAAGACTGTCCAAAGTCTGCAGAGAGCCTGGGACATAATACTCATTGCTGCCAAGTTGGAACCAACTCATAGCTCCCCACTAGCTTCCCAAGGCTGTGCTGTAAATTTCACAAGAGGAGATAAGATAGACCATCTTTCTTCTTCTGAGTAGCTGTTGTATTTGAAAGACCATGCCTTTGTGTCAGCAGCACAACTTCCTACATATGACATACGCCACCAGAGCTGCTCCATGCTCTATAAATGACTGGTGAATAAATTAAGAATGCCTGGGAGGAAACTGCAGCTTTGGTCTCATTTACCAAATCAGTTGTCAACTTATACAATTAAGTGCTTTAAAAACTACTATTGGGATCTTCTAAATGCCTTTCTCTAAAAGCACAGAATCTTATCACTAAGATAAAGATACCTCACCACATCGGAAATTGAACCAAACTCCAAATCTGAGTCCACAAGGAAAACCCTAGTACTTACTCACAAGAGGTTAGATGACAAGAGATTTATCTATTTAGATCATAAAATAGTATCTCATTATATACGTTAACATAAAAAAGTTATTTAGCCAGAAAAGTCATACAGTTTAAAAATTCAGTTCATATTTAATAAATTCATTAAGATAAAATCATTGTGTCTTTTTAAAAAGTGGGAAGAGGAGCCAATATATAAGCAGAAAAGATGTGAGCTTATAACACAGGCATATGTAATTGGAGGGGGGATTCAACACAATTCAAACAATTACTACAACTTTCCCATCTTATATGTATTTCATAAAACTGGTCATCCAGCAGCCAAGTAAGAAATATATAAAATACATCGAGAATAAATGCCAGTCATTAAAAAAAAATAATATAAAAGGAAATACCATGAGATGTCTGGTAAATCTGAGGTCCAAGAAAGAATAAATGTCTTCACAAAACCTGCTATCCAGAATAGACCTAGAAACCAAGTGAACATAGGAGTATTGAGCTATTTTTCCAATGACATAAAATAGCAGGTATTTCTGACTAATATAGTACCTAAAACCAAAGGAACTCCCACAAAGACAACAGCTCATTCTTATAAGGATAAATTTATACCTCACTGTTTTACACAAATAAGTGAAAATATACAGAAAGGCAATAATCAAAACTAAATATCAAACTGAAAAGAAACTTGGAAAATATGGCATTAAAAGTAAACATGGTAAAACAAAGGCAACAATATCAGACACACAAAATCCAAAGAAACCAGGGGGGAAAAAAACCCTAAAATAGGAAAAACAAGATAAAAGACAAAGTGCAATTAAAGTAGAAAATAATGAGAAAAAGTGAAAAACAGAACCTACACTTAAAACCCTGTGAAAAGTAAAATAAAAATACCACCAAACACATGAATATGAAATTTAAAAGGTAGGGAGGCTGAAAATATGATCTTTTTCTCTCAAACTACAAATAAAAATGGTCCAACCAAACATCCTCTCTGAGGGAAGAGTCATTCATTGTTATCCTTCTGCTTGTGTCCTAATAAAAAAATTCACTCATTGTCATAAAATCAGAACCAACTCATAGCTTTATCAGGTTTTCAGAGGTTGTAAATCTTACTGGGTGGAAACTACCCATTTTTCTCCCTGGGAGCTGCTACTGGATTTGAACCACCTGCCTTTGAGTTGCTAGCACAACTCTAGCCCTTAGGTCACCAGAACTCCCCTAACATCTTAAATGTTGTTGTTCTTGTTGACTGCTGTCGAGTACAACTCATAGCGACCCTGTGAACAAAAGGCCTGAGGGTCTTTCTATAACTATCATTATTTTTAAAAAAAATTTAAAAAAAAAACTATCATTATTTATGAAAGTTCACAGAGTTTCCTGAGGCATGTTTAGGAAGTGGATGCCACTCCTGCTTAAATAGTGCTAACCAAATATTTGAAATTAATGGTTATATTTTAAGTTGGTTTACCACTTAATGAATAAACAAATACATTTGTGGATGAACAACTAATGGAAATGAAATAAGTTAAAATTTAAACCATGCATTTTTTATTTCCCTATAAACTGGAAATTAAACTACCATCATTATATATGAAAGATTTTTTAATTTATAGCAGTTGACTAAAGTATAACAAAAATAAATACTACTAGATCAAGATTTATTCCAAGTTATTTTGGGGTGCTATTAAGTTGATCCTGACACATAGCAACCCCGTTGGACAAAACAGAATTGTCCCAAATGGTTTTCAAGGTTTCAGTTTTTTTGTTTTTTTTTTTTTAAATTTAGGTTGTTTATTTTTCATTTCAATGAACATCTACAGAGATTTTGGGATTCCATTCATTCATTGTTGCAACCTTCTCCCCGCACAACCCCCTCCCCCCCCCATTTGCTCCTCTCCTTGAAAAGCAAAAGAAAAACTCCCTCATTGGTACAGTTTTTATGTGAGCAAACTTCCAGGTTTTTCTCCCTTGGAGTCACAACTTCATTTCTTTGGGCTCCTCTAACTGGAGTTGGTCTAGTTGGTAATTTTACAGTCTAAATCTTATCATCACAAATTTATTAACAGATTCGTCCTGGTAATCAAAAGTCAAAATCTTAAAAGGAAGTTTGGCAATAGAAAGAAATATATGTATTTTTCAATAAGGTGGTGGTTGTTGCTGTTGATTGCCTTCGAGTTGAGTACTACTCATAGCAACCCTATGAACAAAAGGCCTGAAGCTCCTCTACAACTATAGACCATTTATGAAAGTTCATAGAGTTTCTGGAGGCAAATTGTTTAGGAAGTAGATGCCACTCCTGCTTAAGGTTATTATTATTATCAGATAATGTTCTATGAATACTTAACTGACTGGTACTTAAAACTATCCCTTCCACTAGTTATAATAATAAAGACAGCAAAGGCTTTCACTGCTCAATCTTCACAAGTCTGTAAGGTAGGGACAATTAAGCATCTTCATTTTAGAAATGAGTTAGAGGGTTAAACTTGTCCAGTCCATCACTTATAAATAGCACAGTCAGGATTTATACTCTAACAAGTTGATTCCACAGTCTACACATTAGTTTGAAATTAAAATTTTTCCAGGTGATTGGTGAAATAAAGAATATAAAAATTTATAATTAAAGAAAAAATAATTGACACTGTCTAGCTCAAAGGAGGTCAGTTTATGGTTCTGTAAGAAGACTTTAGAAGTCCTTCCACACCATATTTAATTCTAACAAATTGTTACTTTATTATCAGAACAAGAGTGTTTCAATGTTGCAGCAAAAACACTCTGCCACTTATAATAATAACAGCTAAGGACTCTCTAAGGAGCTCTGGGGGCTTACTGGTAAGGAGTGGCACTACCAACCCAAAGGAACTCGATTCAAATCCACCAGCTGCTTTGTGGCAAAAGATAGGTAATCTCTTCCCATGCAATTAACTGGTTCTAAAAAACCTGCTGGAGGCTCAGCCATGAGTCAGTTCCAACTCAACAGTACATAACAAGAAAATTGCCACTATTAAGAGCCTTAGTTTTCTCACATGCAAACAGTTTAGTTTAAATTTTTCTTGCTAGGTCCTAATATTTGTTTTATAGAATTTTGGCTAGAACAGGATTTGTGCTGCTAAGATTACTTAAAGAGTAAATTAATGGCAAGCCCATGACATAAGCAATAAGCATCAAATTGTCCCTAAGTCAAGGATAAGACACTGTCAAATCAGTCAGTATTTATTGGAACTCTATAGTGACTTAACCTACAACTCAATTACCTTTAGCTTATTAGATATTTGATGTTAGAATGTAAGTGAAATATCAAGAAGAGTAACCATGTAAAAGGATTTTTTTTGCTTTTTTTAATTTTTTTTAATCTCTTTATTTTTCATTTCAATGAACATCTACAGAGATTTTAGAATTCCATTCATTCATTGTTGCACCCCTCTCCCCGCCCCCCCACCCCATGTAAAAGTTTTTAAATCTGTTTGTACACACACACACACACACCCACTCCCATACAGTCAAAATTAACTTGATGACATACAATGATAGAAATATTACACAGAAAACAGTCATTGTCCATCTTCAGAGCAGTGACAGATATAGAAGTTTACACATGTGATGTGATAAAACTGCAAAGAATTATACACACAGTCAAGGTACAACAACTACAACTGGAGAAATGCAAGTAAGATGCCTAAATTGTATATGAATGTCTCAGTCTTGATATTTAGCAAGATGTTATCATGTAATAAAATACAGATACTATGTGTTATTTCTTAAAACTGCATGTTAACATTATTGGGCCAAAATCTGTTCACAATTAGCTTTTAAAAATAGCACTGCAATTTTAGCCTTCAAGTTTGGTGGGGGTTTTTTTTGTTTTTTAATAAGGCTTGGCTGTTCCTTTCCTATATGAAATTTTACACAGGAATTAAGAAGAATCTATCCTGGTTTTAGGAAGAAAAACAGTTTTAACCTTTTATGCTTTTCCAATAATTGCACATATCAATCTAAATACTCCATTAAGGTGGCCACACCTAAGTATAATGGAAAAATACCACAACTAATTAGCAATGGTTTCCAGTGGGTACAGTAGGAATTTGTGCTTTATATTTGCTAAGTCTATTTCTGATGGCCTAGTGGCAAGAAGCTGTGGTTCAAATGCATCAGCTGCTCTGCGGGAGAAGGATGGGAAATATCCTCCAGTGGGATTAAAATGGCCTCTGAAAGAGTCAGCTATGGGTTGGTCTGACTCAATGATACCCAACAACACATGATTAGTAGATGATCGGAAGAATGTACTTCGCTACATATCCTTCAACCTATCAGCTCAGTTGCTTGGAAAGCAAAATCTTCCCGGAGAACAGTCTGAAAACCAAAGGCTGAAAGAAAATATTTACTGAGCCATATATTTTTTATATCATTCTATCCAAAGGAAGCTTTTCAGTAGCTCTCTCATATCCATACTCTTTAATCCTACCATCTAAGGTTCACCACAAATTGATCCCACTCAAGTACTTCTATAGTCCCACTGCAAGCTCTTTATGCAAACACATGAGTTTGGAAACTAAGAGATCATCTTAAGTTAGCAAGTAGAGAAGCAGTGAATATGAATAGTTCGCCATTGCTCAAAGATCAGTTTTCTCTCACTCAGGCTCCAGAAATAGAGGCCTGGTTTCTTAAGAGCAAGAGATCTTGGACATCTATTAAGTACTAAGCCCCTTTTAGTTTCTGATCAATTATTACCTAACTATATGACCTTGGGAAAGTTATTTAACCTCTTAGGGACTCTGTCTCCAAGTAAAATAAAAGATAATGACTAGAACAGTATGAAAATCAATGGACACTGGTAATAAAATGCAGATTCAAGGCCTCATTCTAAAGATATAATTCCACAGGTCTGGGATAGGTCCCAAAAATGTTCATTTTAATGTCTAGCAAGTAATTAGACTCAATGTCATCAAATCAATTCTGATTCATAACTACCCAATAGAAGGAGAGCTCTCTAAATCATTTTTTACTACCTTTGTGAGTAGGCCCATGTAATTGATACAGGTAGTCCCTGGGCCACCACTCTTTAAATCTCAACATCTTCCTCTACTCCTTCTGAAAATTTTAAAATACGTCAAAATTTTAAATGTGGTACCCCAAGTACTAAAAGTCTATGTAAATATTTCCCCTTCTTTCTTTGCCTTCTGGACTCTAATTACAATATATACGTATTTCTCTTCATTACAAGGTTCCAAAACTATACATTGTTTTGCTCTAGGAGCTAATAGCCACTTGATACTGCTGTCAAGTGGCACTGTTACATCAACCATTTCACCAATCCCCTTAAGTTAAACTATTATGTGGTGGGGTTTTTTTAAGTCTCAATGAAAGTTACACAACTGTTCAGGTTTTCCGTTCATTGAGTTGCTATGAGTCGTTTAAGACTCAATGGCACTTAACAATGATTTCTGAAAAAAAAATATTTATTTTTAAAAATG